GTTTGATTCTTTGTACGTCGCCTATTGCAATTCAGGAATGTAAACGCGCTACAGCCGAGAAAAGCTGATTGGCTTCTTCGGTATACTAGGCTACCATAAGATTATTTACTGCTATGGTTTCCATTCCATGTTTGCTTTTTGGTTGTGTGTTGTACAAATGGGGCATGCTTTGGCCTTTCAATCCAGTGGAAGGTTGCTACAAGCCTGATTAACAGCGAACGTAACCATGGGGACGTAAACTTTTTACTGATATTAGGCACTTTAATCGCTAATCACTTTATCAGTGAACGAAATCCTGCATGCTGAGGTCACCATGCCATAAAAATGTAAAGTCAATTTTTGAACTATAATAATTTAAAAACTACTGAACGTAATTCATTATAATTTCGGATCCTGTATTTCACATATCTCATCTCGAAATATTGAAAACGGCATTCAAAAATATTGTATAGTTTTCCCGTTATCGTAAAATAAGTGACGTACCTTCGTTTCATTCCAGTTCCCACCGTGTGTTAGTATACACACGGTGAATTACAACCTTTGTAAACAACGTTCTCTGCATGACGTTTTGAAAAAGCAGAATCCGGACATTGTGATTGGTCCTAACGCTCCCATGTGATCGTTTTCTGAGAGATCCGATCTTAAGCTTTGTTGTCATCTTTGTTCGGAGAAAATCCATTCATTTATTTATATAGTACAGCGAGTTTAAAAAGTTCAATAATTTTTTTTGAGGTCTAGAATGTATGAAAATATATTATTATAACTACTACGTGACGTTATTAAATTTGAGAAATAATTAATAACGAACGGCAGCTAGAGATATTAAAATGTGTCTTTTAATTGTGTGTGGCGGTCGGTGCTAGGCCCTTCGCCGCAGAGCGTAGACTTGGTGCAGTGTAATTAGACACCGCCTGAACATCGTAATTTCATCGGGTTATGAATCTTGTTACGATTCTTGTCCGATCGTGTTTTAAGGCCTAGGTTAGGTTGCGTTCTATTGCTAATTATATATGGTATGTGCACAACTGCGGTGTAATTCTTATTTTAGGACTGTAATGTTTATTTAATAACTTTACATGTACTTAAGTTAATGTTAATGTTTTAGGTCTATCATTTTCAATGTTTTCTAAAGCTAGTTCACGCTAGCTAGGGGTAGGCTTAGGCCTATGCCTTTCTATAGACTATATACTATCAATTAAAATATTAAAAAGGGACAATGCCTGTTATATGGCTAGTAACTAATTATTATATACTGCACATATAGGCCTACTACTGTAGGCTATATATATTTTTATAAAGTACGTTAGTGTTTTTATTACTATAATTCAATTAATTAATGGTGTATGCCTAGGCCTAGCCTATTAATTATATGTATGTACCGTACATGTGAATATTTTTATTGTTCTTGCTGAAGTTTGACTTTCTTGTAGAAGTGTTTATTTGTACAGTTGAAGAAAATAAATTTTTTTTTTTTCAAAAAAAGTACAAAATTAATCAAGAATGGACTTGTCTTAGAACTTCATAAATTTCTAACAAAACAGGGGTACCAAGCTATTTTTGTAGCAAAAACACTAGTTAAAATATGCCCACAGGAAGATGTCAAAGAAGATGCGTTACGTATGGCTGTGCAAAGGCTAGTGTGTTTGTCATCCCGAATTAACACAAGCACTCCCTCGTTAGTTGCCATGTCTACATCATCGAAAATACAGTAGTGCAATATTTTATGAATGCCCGCATAGGAACCTTGGCCCTCGTGGAGGTCTGGTTATTTTACTCACGTACGTACGAGCAATGATGCGTACGCTCTCTGCATCCACCCTGATCCACCCTATACCGTACTTTGTAGAGTGGCTCGTAAATACAGCATAACCTTTCTCTCAAATCAACTGTCAATGTTGTGTTGGTTAGTGATGATGTGGGAAAATGTGTTTATAAAACATTAAAATTATTTGGATGACTTTATTTGTGATGATTAAATATCTTACAAGGAACACACGCATATTACATGCCATTATGACAGACGAGGTTGTTTACTTCTTGCTTCCTACAGTACCACCACGAAATTTTCACTTTTACCTGCGCGCAGGCTTCGTAGATACAGTACATCGTAGCCAGATATAAACAATCTAACCTGCGCGCAGGCTTCGTAGATACATCGTAGCCTGATATAAACAATCTAAGCAAGGCTACAGTACGCGAAGCGAACCTACTGTACGAAGCAAGAGCATGTTGTTTATTTGTATGTGCAGGAAGACTGCTGTAGCTTACTGGAATAATAATAATAATAATTTGTGAATGACAAACACAAGTTTAGACCGTTATTAAGTATGGAGCTGTTTTTAAATAAGAAAAACGTACACTTGACTTCATGGGAGTCTCCTCTTCCACTCGCTGTCCACGACAGGAACTTGTTTGTACTGCTGTATTATTTTTTTAAATTAATTAGCCTAGGCCTAGCTTATTTTTTATTTACAATTATTTTATACCTCTTTTAAATGTCAAAAAACGATGTCCTCAATGACAATACACACATGTGAAAAAATTGTTCATCAAATAATATTTTGTAGTCCTGATTTAGTAAGATAAATAATAAATATAAAGGAGAATTAACATCCGTTGGTTGTAAAATTATCGAATGTCACATGGAAAACCCAATGGAAAATAAAACTTAGCTAGCATTAGACGTCAGAGTGCGCGCCAATCAAAACACAGTAAAGTGTGTTAAAGGTTAACCTCGTGGCTAATGTTGAAAAGCTGTGAGCAAAAATCAGAGGCGGATCCAGAAATTTATGAAAGGTGGGGGGTAAGGGGTTCTGAGAAGTGCAGGGATGTCATTATGCAGGGCGGCGCCGCCCACTCTTGACGTCTTGTGCCCATCCTAAAGCTATTTTTAAGGCCTTCCGCCCAGCCTCATACAAATTCTCCCACCCCCCCCTTAAAAATAAAATCATGAAGAAACACAAGTTTTTGCTCCATAAACCGTATTTTCCGTTGAATAAGCCGCAAATTTTATACACGATTTTCACCTCGAAGTTTGGGGTGCGGCCTGTACACCGGTCATTAGCCTACCCCCAAAAAGTTCAGATCGCGAGCCACGGCGAAAATCAGGCCCCGTCTAGGTTAAGGCCCATGCTAGCTCAATTAATTAGCCTAGGACCGGTCACTACAGTGCTGTACTAGGATTCCTACTACATTTTCTTCGACATTCAAGCAATAGTTTGGGTTGCCTAAATAATTATTTTCATAATTACGTTCACTTATAAAAAATTTTGAAACACGCTGTTTCTGTTCGAAAGTGCTTCGCTCAAAACAATAACATACTACTTTTCAGGAGTTCGGCCCTTGAGGTCACGTGAGCAGCTTCATTTTCGATGTCGCAACAAAACACATGTGGGCTGGTGAAACTTGCATGTTGACGTCTGGTTCTCGGTGACTTGTACCGTTATAGAGAGAATATTAATAATAATACTGCTATAATTTTAGAATAAAAACTTAATTAATTTATGCTATAAAAACACAATACACCGGTCGTTAAACCTACTCCCAAAAAGTTTAGATCGCGAACCGCAGCGAAAATCAGGCGCCGTCTGTCTAGCTTGGGCCCATGCTCCTAGCCCAATTAATTAGCCAAGGCTTTGAAGGGCTAGTATTTGTAATTATTTATACTATACTCACTATACAGTGCTGTACTGTGATTCCTACTACATTTTCTACGACAATCAAGCAATGGTTTGGGTTGTTTAAATAATTATTTTCATAGTTTACGTTCAATCAAACAATTTTGAAACACGTTTTATTCGAAATCGCTTCGCTCAAAACAATAAACTTCTTTTCGGGAGTGTGGTCCTAGAGGTCACGTGAGCAGCTTCATTTATGATGTCGCACCAAAACACACGTGGGCTGTTGAAACTTTCTTTTCGACGTCTGGTTCCCGGTAGCTTGTACCGTTATAGAAAGAATATTGATACCGCTATATTTCAGAATATCAATGGCATCCTTCCATCCTTGGGATGATGGATATGTAGCAATCTTTTTGAGAGTTTCTAATTTTATATACCATTGCACTTTCGTTCATGGCTGAACAGTCCAATTTGTGAGCGACAAAACCTGCCACAATTATTGCAATTGTAGCCACCAATAGTTTGAACTTGGCTGGTGCTCTGTTTCCTGCGTGTACGTCTGATGGCCAGTTGATCAATCCAATTTTCATCATGGTAGTGTATCCCATTCCAGAGCATATGTCGCCATTCACCCCTTTCATTTGCAACTGTTTCCCATGTAGAAACATATGTTAAAGGCCTTCATGTCTCTTTTAATAACATCCTTAAACCGAAGTTTTGGGCGTCCTACTTGTCTCTTGGCATCTGCTATTTCTCCATACAGCATGTCCTTAGGGATTCGACTGTCTTGCATTCGGCATACATGAGCCAGCCAGCGGAGTCGTTTCTCCTTGATAAGTGCCAAGGCACTTGGCAAATTAGATTTTGCCAGAACCACAGCATTTGTGATTTTGTGCTTCCAAGTTATGCCGAGTATGCGGCGAAGGCATCGTAGATGGAAGCTGTTTAATTTTCTTTTTTGATGGCTATAGGTTGTCCATGTTTCACTGCCATAAAGCAGGATGCTGAGAATACAGGCCCTATATACTGACATCTTGGTCTTAATAGACAGTTTGTTGTTAGTCCAAACGCGGTTTGTAAGTCTGCCAAAAGTCGTAGCCGCTTTTCCTATCCTTGCGTTTAATTCCTGGTCAAGTGACAGATTATCTGTCATCACTGATCCCAAATAGCAGAACTTGCTAACTACTTCAAGAGGCTTGTATGATTATGGTTGTTGTTCGGTGCCTTGGCTCATGACAACTGTTTTCTTGACACTGATGGTAAGTGAAAACATTTCACAGGCATGAGATAGCCGATTCATAAGCCTCTGGAGCTGCTCTCCTGTGTGTGAAACGATTGCTGCATCTTTAGCATATAATAATTCACGAATCAAGATGGATTTTACCTTAGTCTTCGCTTTGAGTCTGAATATATTGTAAAGTTTGCCACTTGTTCTTGTATGCAGGTATACTCCTTCAAATTCATCATTAAAGGCATACTTGAGGAGCATGCACTCTTTAACGCAAAGCTATTAGATGTGGAGCCATCAAACTGTACAGTACCATGCTTGTGTTTATGAAATGAGTGTATGAGATTAAGGAGCTTCGGTGGACACCCAATCTTCTCTAAGATCTTGTACAGACCTGCTCTACTAATTGTATGAAACGCCTTTGTAAGGTCGACAAAGGCAATGAATAGCGGCATCTGCTGTTCCCTGCATTTTTCTTGCAGTTGACGGAGGGGAAAGATCATGTCCACTGTAGATCTTGATGGTCGGAAACCACACTGTGCCTCTGGATAGATGCGATCAGCAAGATGTGCTTTAACTTTAGCTATGGCTTTTCCTGTAACGCTGAGGAGGGATATGCAGCGGTAGTTGTTACAATCCCTGCGGTCTCCTTTATTTTTGTACAGAGTGATGATGTTTGCATCCTGCATATCATGTGGGATGGTTTCTGTCCGCCAACAGAGGAGGAGGAGATCATAGAGATGGGGTAATATTCTTACTTTTCCACATTTAAGTATTTCAGCTGGAATTCCATCCTTACCAGGTGCCTTTCCATTTGCTAAAGAATCGATAGCTTGACTCAGCTCAAGTACTGAAGGTTGATCCAGCTCACCCATAACAGGTAGTTGAGGTAGGATATCAAGTGAAACTTGTGAGATATCAGTTTCCCTAGAGTAGAACTCAAGATAGTGTTCCACCCAACGAGACATCTGTTTATTCTTGTCGGTCAGTACTTCACCATCCAGTGATTTCAAAGGGGCGGTTTTTATGATAGTGGGTCCAATGGCCTTCTTGATACCTTCATACATCGTGCGAAGGTCCCCTTTATCAGATGCTGTCTGAATTTCTTCACAGAGTTTGATCCAATATTGGTTTGCACAGTACCTTGCTGTCTTCTGAACTACAGCTTTTGCAAGTTTTAGTTCTTTAAATGTGCCTACTGTTGGGTTTAGATTATGTGTGAGGTATGCTGCATTCTTGGCTTCAATGACTGGTATCATTTCTGCTGAGTGGGCTCTAAACCAATCTTTATTGATTTTTCTGTTTTTGCCGAAAGTTTTTTCCGCAGTCTTATTATAGATGGTGGAACTTATAGTATTCCAAACTTCATCTACATTTCCTTGCAGGCCTTCAGCAGGTAGTGAATGTTCCATTGCTTCAATAAACTGTTGGCATTTAGCTTCATTTTTTGTACCAGCAATATTAATGCGTGGTAGACCATCATGCTTGGAGGTGTGGAGTTTCCGTAGTTGAAACTTTACTTTGCTGATGACAAGAGAGTGATCTGTGTCACAATCTGCACTGTGGTAGGTACGAGTATGGAGAACGCTTGGTAGATCACGTCTTCTGGTGATAATAAGGTCAAGTTGGTGCCAATGACCAGACCTCATATGACGCCAAGAAACCTTGTGTCGGTGTTTTCCTTGAAAATAGGTGTTTGTGATGCATAGCTCTCTTTGTGCACAGAGTTCAAGTAAACGTTGCCCATTTTCATTTATCCTGCCCACACCATGGTAACCAAGGCACATTGGCCATGAAACTCTGTCTGATCCCACACGTGCATTCAGAACAATAACTGTCTCTTATACACATCTAGATGTGTATAAGAGACCAGTCATAGAAACTATCTTTATCTTGCTCATTTGCATACAGAGTTGGTGCATAAACATTAATAATGTTGACAAATCCTCCTTTTGATGATAGACGTAGTGAGATAATGCGTTCAGAGGTTACTACTGGTGATTCAATCTTCTGTATTAGTCTGTTGCTTACTGCAAAGCCTACACCATATTCAAGGCGATCTTCAGAACTCTTGCCGTGCCAGTAGAATGTGTAATTTACTTCACGTATTGAACCTGTGTCTGCTAGTCTTGTTTCCTGTAGTGCAGCAATATCAGTATGTTTTCTGTCATCAGTATATGTTCATTCATGCCAGGACACATGGTTCTGACATTCCAGCTGTCAAGCTGAAAAATTTCGCATTTCTGTTTCTTCTTGCTGGGTGTCATTTTACCGTCCGCTTTTCGAGATTAATCTATCCTCATTCACCCGCAGAGGCAGGCAGACGTTGGCGGGTCAGTACCTTACTGGCTGGGGGCTGCCCAGCTTAGGCGGGTGGATACTGACCAATAGGATACGATGATCCTTCCCACCGTCGGATGTAACCCGTGGCGCCCATGCACAACGCCAATTTAGCTGGACTTATAACACGTGATCTGCTACACCCCGTGTTGGTTCCCTTACTAGTGATAGTAAGGATGAAGTGTCCTCTTCATGATGATTGATGATTTGATGATTTGCTACAATAGCCTGGGCAGTGATATGGGGACCTAGACTTGCCCGGCATCTTGGTCCCCCTCTCGACCTTGCTGGCTGTGTCTAGAGGAAAAGCGATGCTTCTGCGTCTAGAGTCAGTTTGGTTGCAGGAGTTGCCAGAGGGTGCATCCATAGCACCAACCGCCTAACGGGGCTCCACTCCGGTTTTTCTGTTAGGGTGTACTCCATTAGCCTTGGGCTTTCCTGAGCCTGATCCACAAGGCAGTGGGTGCTATTTATATGAGTAGTGTGTAGAACCTGTCTCTTATACACATCTAGATGTGTATAAGAGACAGGGCCTGAGGTCTCAAGACACCCAGTGTACCGTGTGTTGCCACGAGGAGGCACCACAAGAGTCTTGGTGATGCAGAGGCTATGTACTGGGAGAAGAGACTTACGCATTCGGCTCTCTTTTCACGACAGACGTTAGCCAGCAGTGATGGCTTAATAATCATCACACTAGACGCGTAATATCACCCTGTGGCAAAAGCCACCAACACACATTTTTGGTGGAATAAAAGCTTGTGAAATTAATTTAACACGAGTTTTCTTGAAGTTGTATTAATTATTTTACTGGAAATTAATTGAAGAAAAGCATACGTTCGTCCGTCTATCACATGCCTCTATCACATGCTGTATATGTGTATAGACGGTCAGTCTATCATCACATGCTGTAAATTTATGTGTCCATAATTTTAAGGTTCTCTTCCACCTGGGTGGGACTGTCCATCAGATGCTGTATTTTCTAACAATTATTTTCCCAAACATCATTTGATGAAGCTATGCTGTAAATTTATGTGTCCATAATTTTAAGGTTCTCCCCCATCCGGGACTGTCCATCAGATACATGCCTCCATCACCTGCTGTATGTGTATAGACCGTCAGTCCATCACATGCTGTAAAATGTGTCCATAATTTTAAGCTATCTCAGCTTGCTCAATGTTTACTGACAGTCGCGAAAACAACATAAAGAACTTTTCTAGGCAGCTCGCGACAGAAGCAAAATGTCGGGAAAGTTTGACCCGACGCATGCGCAAATCAAATTTTTGACTAAAAAACGACTCAAAACTGGTGGTAGAGGTATATGTTTTATCGCCTACAGCTTACATTTTTCATCTAACCGAAAAAACAAACATTTCTTGCACAATTGCATGTCCACCAGCAACTAACGAGCACAATGTATACCTGCTGCGATGCACTGTTTCGGAGCTTATTTGTTTACAAATATGCTGACCTCTTTTGGTGTCACATCTCATACACACATTTTACATGTGAACCATTACATTAGTTCCATGTGACCTAAGGTCACAAAGGAACTAAAAACGGAGTAAATGCGGTCTAGCATGACTAGCCTTTAATTCGGCAAGGTAGTGATTTCTATATCCATTTTAGTATTGGATTGCTTGGCAGGTTGTTCTGCTTCAAATTACGGTAAACAATAAACAACGTGATCTGTAGAAATCGTAATAATTTGTACATGATTTGTCATCAGTATTATTTAAAAGAAGAAAATTCCTACTACCAGAACAATAATATCAGATCAAAATTCCAAGAGCCTAGGTTTTTAGGTAACTTTTATTTTTACCTCCGGCGTTCTAATAGCCGGTGCAAAATTCATAATAGAGGGAGATTGTGCCGGCCGCCGGCTTAAAATGACACCCCTGCATAAACAGACCCTCCCTCATCAATTTAAAAAAAAAAAGTGATAATCTAATAATTTTTTCTATGTGCCCTTAAATTAATGTTTCTTTCTTGCATACTTTATGTGATTCTTTAATATAATTTACATGCACATATTCTTACAGAATTGGATGGTACTTTTCCCGGTAGGCCTACTTTAGGCCAAATAAAATTAATTGTTAGTTTTACGTCCCTGTCCGCATTGATTTTTGGAGCCGCATTGATTTTTTTACTATTTGCTGTTTTTTTATTAACAATAAAAAAAATACGGCAGTCGCGGCGACATTTCTATGAATTTACAAACAGCGGCTGGATTGATAAGACTACTCTGATTGTCGCCTCGCCACTCGCGCTGCGGTTTTTTGTTGACTTGACAGTCTCTCTTGTTTTAATTTTTTGTGACGCGAGGATGGTAGACAACGGAGGAATATGTTTCTTATTCTTCCAAAGGTAAACAACTATAATCGTCAAATTAACCATATGGTGGTTTAAGCGTGTGGGCCAAGGATGTCTACCTATACCAACATTGACAACAAGACATTGACTTTTCATCATAAGATACTGTACGAGGTCAGTCAACCGTTTTGCGATCACCCGTTCCATACTGCTGTGAGTCGGTCCATCACGTGTGTAAAACGCAGGAGAGCACTAAATTGCTCTCCTCGGATAGTAAGCTGAGAGCAATTGCTCTCCTTGAAAATTTCACAGCTTTGAATAGACGCCCCTCCCCACGGGGTGGATCCAGGTGTCTGAAGTAGGGACACGCGATCGAGAGATAACACTACCCTGGGGGATCCGGCATGCCCCCGTGAAATTTTGTTTTCTAGACGCTCAGAAATAACTTCCTCCCCTGCATCCCACTCAAATAAACTCTCACTCCAGCCTCATTTGGAATAAACCCCTCTCGAAGTAACGCCTGGAGGTTGTGGAATATCAAGTTTTTTTGGCCTCACCTTTGTACAGTATAACCACACTTATTTTAATCTCCAAACTGTTTCCAAAATGTTAAGTTTTTATCTATTTTGAAACATTGACATTATATTTGCAAACATTAAAATAAAGAAATTTCAACTTTATCGGCCGATTAATAAACAACAAACAACTGGAAATACTTGTATTCTCCAGGAAAACTCATCAAAACAACGTATTACCTAGGGATACAATATATTTATATAATAAACATCTCTTATTAAACAAAGTTAACACATTGAAAAGACAAGTTTATCCCCATAGCAACTGTTGCTATGCAAATTTAAAATTCCTTTTTTTTCATAAAATAAGTATATAATGAAGAACTAAAATTTAGTAATGAATTAGTATAGGATTTATGAAAAAATGTTTATTATATACCCTAACATTTATACACAATTTAGTATGAAAGCATCACATCTAGTTATCACCATAGCAACTGTTGCTAATTAAAATATCCTATTTTTTTTTTGTAAATTATTAAAATGAAAACCTAAAATTTGTTGATATAATTAAAGGTTTTGTGAGAGATGTTTATTAAATATTAATATTGTAAGATAACATAAATGAAAGATAACATCCTAATGTGAATACAATATGCATTGTTATCGCCATAGCAACGAATAAAAATCACTAGAATTGTTGTTTATTTGGCTTTACTTTTTTTTAAATAACACACGGTCTTTGTTGAAAAAAAGTTGTACATAATGGTGTTAAAAATAGGTAATCACCATAGCAACCATTGCTAGCAAACTTAAGTAAAACTTTAAGTTTAATTAAAAATGTTTATTAAATGTTTATTAATATTTATTTCATTTCATCAGACCAACAGTGAATCATCACCACTAAAATTTAAATATCATAGGAGAACATTATTAAATAATATGAGTAGTGTGTAGAACAAAACGTCATTACCATAACGACCATTTCTATGCCCATTTTAATGTATAATGAAAAATTAAAGTGTAATATTATTATTAACACCAGGCCTCGAATTTTACCGCGGCCACCATGGCCATTGCCGACGGTGTCCTCCCAGTTCGCCTTGGTGCCCCTGAAAATGAAGCACGACGACGGCCACTACTTGCCTGCCCTTTTGAAGCCTTGGCCTCGGTGCCCTCACGATGCTTAATATAGATCGTTTGATAAGTAAGAACGTTTAAATCTTGAAAGAAAACACGAAAGCCAAAAACGTAGGTCACCTAAGCTAGCCTTGGCCAGGTTGCAGTGACAGAACAGAACATGAGAGAATTTCCATGTGTGTTGATACAAACTGTTTTTGCGGTTACCGTTGTGTGCGCATACATCTTACTCTAGCGGTTATTGCAATATAAACATGGGCTCATTCGACTGATTCATTTCGTTGGAACGAATTTTCGTTGTGTATTATTTTCATTCGACTGGTTCGTTTAATAGACTTTGTTGACAACGAAAATTAACGTAAACCAGAGTGTGTAAATTAGCGTTAAGTTATCCACGTGACCAAAGAGAAACATGACCGATTGGTGATTTTTTATTAACAACATTTGCGTTAATATAACTTAGATTAAATTTCATAAAATAA